AATACACAATAAACTCATTTAATTCATCTCTCTACGACTGTCTGACCATGTGCAAACATTGCTACAACGTATGATACAAATTGCTACAAATATCTCCCCATTGATATTGTAAATCGTTAGTTCAACCTGTCAACAGTTTGCTTATCCAGCGGTTGCCAGGCAAGATAGACAGAGAACAAGATAAAACCAAAAGCGATTTTACGTAAAACTAGGGGCCATAATCCGGGAAGCTACGATCCGATACGCGCAAGTTTCAATGAAATCGGATAAGAAATGTGACCTCAACAGGGTCCCAACCTATCTGCGCACGGGGAGTGGTCATTTTGTCGGGCAGTCTCTACGACTGTCTGACCATGTGCAAACATTGCTACAACGTATGATAGTAACATCTCACAGTATCAGCGATATAACGTCATACAAAACGTCACTAGAACGATATTAATTAATGTTTAGTAACGTTTCACAGTATCAACGATATAATGTCATAAAAAACGGGGTTGAAACATTAATCTAATGTTTTACTGCTACGTTTGCTTATGATGTAAGATGTAAAGAATGTGTAAAATAGAAATACAAAGTTTTAGAAACTTTATTGGAATGGTTTATTTGTCGTTTAATTTTAACGTTTTTAGATTGGGAAAACAGAACGTTTTGAAAACTGAAATCAATATAACGTCACAAACAAATATATTACTAACGTTCAAAGAATCATAAGTTAAAACGCTAGAATAGTTACGTTAGAAGAACATTATTTACTGACGTTTACAGGTTGTCTGACGAGGGTAATATCTATATATACGCAATACAGACACTTAAAATACAGACACTATCAAACACGGGCATTTCAATGAAATACGTCACGCGGGTCGAATTGGATTGAAAGGATTGAACAACAGGCAAAGCCTATATAAGGTTTTTTCCCAAGGATACAGAAAATAAAAAGCGATAAATATAACATATACATAAAAATAAAAATAAATATAATACATTGTAAAACCGAACTATATACAGTTTCATGTGGAAATGATATATACGAAGTATAATTGATGCAATCATTTGATATTATACAACAATATGAGTACTTTTAATAAAATAATGGAATGCTTCAAAAATCCAGATATTGGAGGTGTTCGAAAGATCTGTAGAGCCATTTAAAATTAGATCTAGATTAATAGTTTCTGTGAATACCTTTAATGAATTTAATAGTTCGATTCTCAGATGGACAAGAGAAGAACAAGTGGAAGTTATCTCCATCCGAAGAATTGCATTTTGGACATTTTTTTGATTCAAATAGGTAGTTGTGGGAAAGATGATTATTGAGATTACTAGATTTATTTCTTAGTTGGCAGTGAATGATATTTTCCTTACGGTTTCCATAATGAAAGTAACTAGGTTTTTTTATGTTAAAACCTCAAACACTCAAACATCGCACAAGAATAAAGTAATTTATACGTGGTTTTCGGTTTTACATGTTACATTATCACATGTTTCGTGTATGATGAATGGTATTCATTTAAAATGATCCACGTAGCCGCTTACAGCAATATGCGCTTAAATTACAGTGCAAACGTACACAAAAACATATTTAGTAATTTTAAGTTGCCAAGTTGAAATGTCGATACTAAGTCGAAATGTGTCGAAGTTTTAAGATAAAAAGTCTAAGTTAATATGTTGAAATTTAAAGTAAATATGTTGAAATAATTGTAAAAGATACGGACGTAAAGCGTGGAAATACGCCAGCTCAGCAGCTATGTCTCAGCGGCAGCATGTCCAGAAGGAAAACTTGGATGTTGAACAGATTTAATACGGATCTAGGATCTAAACGTCGCAGAACTCTGCGGTCATGACCGCAACTCTCCCTACCGAATGTAAAAAAAATGTTAATAATTGTAGTCTGTATTGCGTTAACAAAAAAAAAAGTAAAAAAAGAAAGATTATACAACTAATGATATCAATTCTAACATATTTAAAATAGCGCAAAAATACATAAAATATAGCAAGAGATCTTAACATTAAAAAATATATTTACAATATGTAATTTTCTTTCTATTTTCATAACCTAAAACGAAAATGTAATAAATATCTTACCATTACACTCCAAGAAATGTATATATGTTTGTAACTTACTGCCTATACATATGTCTGTCATTGTTTATTGTAAACATAAGATTTAACTATCTTATATGTTTGGAGAAAACTTACGTAGACCCTTGCCTGCTGTTCAATCCAATTCAGTTGATTGAATATATTATTGTTTAAACAACAACTAATTCTAATAAATAGTTATGGACAAATAACAAATTAGGACAATATGATGGAAAACGTTTAGAAAAATGACACTTTACAGATCATTGTCACCAGAACTATTTTCACCGCTACTGTCACTAATTGAGTTAGTAAAATCGAATGTGTTGCTTTTAAGAAACATGTCGATAAAATGATTAAGTTCTTCATCATAACCGATCACAGTATCCACTGGTCCTTCATCCCCTGAGTTTTTGTTTTTATTAAGTAGGGTTAAGCTTTGGTGTGGGGAATGATCTCTGTTGCTTTCGGTGTTTCTGTCCAAAGAATCCAACTGCAATGTGTTTCTCTTCGTGCTCGAATTGTCCATACTGTAAATCAATTGATGGAGTTTAGCAAGCCCTTTGACATTAGCCACCCTTAGATGATTACCCGTCTCCGAAATATTCATTTTAGAAGAGGGTATCTTACTTCCAAGACACGTATTTGTTGTTTCTCTATTGTTTCCTGAATATCCTTCTGAATTAGGACTTGGTTTAAAATTTATAATTTCTGTACTGGTCAAATCATCTAATTCTTTTGAAGCGTCTGGGTTACAAGCTAAAGACTGATATTCAAACAAAGATTTTTCAGAAATATCGTTTTGTTTCGAAATCATAGTACACTTTCTTGGGTTATTGGCCAGTGTTCTGTTTCTTTTCTCTTTTGAAGTCGCTGTAAAATTTGTTCCAACTGGTACTTCTTGGACAGAATGCTTTTCGGCCGATTCTAAGCTCATAGATCGTGTCTGCCACATAATGGAGGATGTATGGTGGCTAGCTGCTTGGTCATTGTGCATTTTCTGAACAATTCGCATATTTATATCCGATTCTGGTACTCTAACTTTGGCATTGTAAGCACGTATTCTGACATATGTCTCTAGTTGACTGATCCTTTTCTTAGCCTGTTTAAGTGCTAAATCTTTGGTCAACAAATTCTGTTCCAATATTCGACACTGAAAGTAAAATGGCGGAGTTATTATTATTCATAGTTTACTACATTCCTGTAATGTTAGATAAGAATCCATCTAGTAACCTAAAAGATATTGCCGCTAAAACTACCGGAAGCCTGCCATTTGAGAAAACAAACGATTCTAAGCCCATAGATCGTTTCTGCAACATAATCGAGTAGGTATGGTGGCTAGCTGCTCGGTCATTGTGCATTTTCTGAACAATTCGCATATTTATATCAGATTCTGTCTGGTACTCTAACTTTGACATTGTAAGCAAGTATTCCGATATATGTCTCTAGTTGACTGATCCTTTTCTTAGCCTGTTTAAGTGCTAAATCTTTGGTCAACAAATTCTGTTCCAATGTTCGACACTGTAATGTTAGATAAAAATCCATTGAGAATCTAAATTTGACACTTCAAGGAAGGGTTGATGAAAACTTCCGCGCTGGTTTATCCTATCCATGTTTGCAATGAGACGTCTTAAACATATGAACGTCAAAAGTTCTCAAATTACAGAATATTTTGAAAAATATAAACTATTAAATGAATTTCAATTCTGGTTTTGGAAAAAAAAATCTTTTATGTGCCACAGCCTTATTGGGAATTACTGATAACGGGCGAGCAGTAACCAACATGCTTAATGTGTCACAGCCTGTAATCGTTGGGGTAATCGTCGATGGGCGCGTGTAATGTTCTCAGATGAGTCCAGATTTACTCTGGATTGGCGTGTTCGCATTTGGCGGATATGTAAATAAGCGCCATGTGCCGTCATGCTAACGTTAAATATAACGCAAAGGTAACTACACGTTAAAGTTAACGGGGCTTCCAGCAACAACCTTTCTCTCCGTTAAAGTTAATGATCCGTTAACTCCATGTTAACGGATCGTTAAAAGATAACGGAGCTTTGAGCAACCGGCCCCTGGAGTGTATTAGTTTCAAAGTTGTTAAATACTTTTAAAATTCGACAAAATTTACAACCTGGATTAGTCCTTTGAGTCACCAATATCATATGTTTGTGACAAGTTTGAATAGTTCCTCTTATCCAAAATACCATAAAACTACCAAAATTCAAGCGATACATTATTGACATTGAAGCCTGCGAATAAATCAAATGCCATGGTCACGAAAGCGGGATGCAAGTTCAAGGCCAACCTATCGACACATTTCGAAACGAATAATACACAATAAACTCATTTAATTCATCTCTCTACGACTGTCTGACCATGTGCAAACATTGCTACAACGTATGATACAAATTGCTACAAATATCTCCCCATTGATATTGTAATCGTTAGTTCAACCTGTCAACAGTTTGCTTATCCAGCGGTTGCCAGGCAAGATAGACAGAGAACAAGATAAAATCAAAAGCGATTTTACGTAAAACTAGGGGCCATAATCCGGGAAGCTACGATCCGATACGCGCAAGTTTCAATGAAATCGGATAAGAAATGTGACCTCAAAACAGGGTCCCAACCTATCTGCGCACGGGGAGTTGTCATTTTGTCGGGCAGTCTCTACGACTGTCTGACCATGTGCAAACATTGCTACAACGTATGATAGTAACATCTCACAGTATCAGCGATATAACGTCATACAAAACGTCACTAGAACGATATTAATTAATGTTTAGTAACGTTTCACAGTATCAACGATATAATGTCATAAAAAACGGGGTTGAAACATTAATCTAATGTTTTACTGCTACGTTTGCTTATGATATAAGATGTAAAGAATGTGTAAAATAGAAATACAAAGTTTTAGAAACTTTATTGGAATGGTTTATTTGTCGTTTAATTTTAACGTTTTTAGATTGGGAAAACAGAACGTTTTGAAAACTGAAATCAATATAACGTCACAAACAAATATATTACTACCGTTCAAAGAATCATAAGTTAAAACGCTAGAATAGTTACGTTAGAAGAACATAATTACTGACGTTTACAGGTTGTCTGACGAGGCTTGGGAAATAACGTTCGGTCATTGTTGAATGAAAGTCAAATTAAAACGTCAAAAGATAACATTCTGGCGATGTTTCTGGAACGTTTATAAAAAAGTACAATCTATCTCTGAACCCTTTTCGAACGTTTGGAGAACGTGCTTAAAAAAACATTCTGAACGCAACCATATTAGAACCAATTACGAATGTTGTCAAAACGTTTTGTGTTTGCTGGGTTTATACTAAAGTTCTGGGTGAGTAGCGTGAGGTATGCAATTTAGATGCACGGATTCAAGCAAATATATAAAATTTGGGATTTTTTCTTCTATTTTGCGACCAATTATTTTACGCCCCCTGTACGAGTGCGAAAGCACGAGGGTAATATCTATATATACGCAATACAGACACTTAAAATACAGACACTATCCAACACGGGCATTTCAATGAAATACGTCACGCGGGTCGAATATTATTTTAGTTTAAACAATATTTTATTCATTTGAAAAGGATTGAACAACAGGCAAAGCCTATATAAGGTTTTTTCCCAAGGATACAGAAAATAAAAAGCGATAAATGTAACATATACATAAAAATAAAAATAAATATAATACATTGTAAAACCGAACTATATACAGTTTCATGTGGAAATGATATATACGAAGTATAGTTGATGCAATCATTTTATATTATACAACAATATGAGTACTTTTAATAAAATAATGGAATGCTTCAAAAATCCAGATATTGGAGGTGTTCGAAAGATCTGTAGAGCCATTTAAAATTAGATCTAGATTAATAGTTTCTGTGAATACCTTTAATGAATTTAATAGTTCGATTCTCAGATGGACAAGAGAAGAACAAGTGGAAGTTATCTCCATCCGAAGAATTGCATTTTGGACATTTTTTTGATTCAAATAGGTAGTTGTGGAAAAGATGATTATTGAGATTACTAGATTTATTTCTTAGTTGGCAGTGAATGATATTTTCCTTACGGTTTCCATAATGAAAGTAACTAGGTTTTTTTATGTTAAAACCTCAAACACTCAAACATCGCACAAGAATAAAGTAATTTATATGTGGTTTTCGGTTTTACATGTTACATTATCACATGTTTCGTGTATGATGAATGGTATTCATTTAAAATGATCCACGTAGCCGCTTACAGCAATATGCGCTTAAATTACAGAGCAAACGTACACAAAAACATATTTAGTAATTTTAAGTTGCCAAGTTGAAATGTCGATACTAAGTCGAAATGTGTCGAAGTTTTAAGATAAAAAGTCTAAGTTAATATGTTGAAATTTAAAGTAAATATGTTGAAATAATTGTAAAAGATACGGACGTAAAGCGTGGAAATACGCCAGCTCAGCAGCTGTCTCAGCGGCAGGATGTCCAGAAGGAAAACTTGGATGTTGAACAGATTTAATACGGATCTAGGATCTAAACGTCGCAGAACTCTGCGGTCATGACCGCAACTCTCCCTACCGAATGTAAAAAAAATGTTAATAATTGTAGTCTGTATTGCGTTAACAAAAAAAAAAGTAAAAAAAGAAAGATTATACAACTAATGATATCAATTCTAACATATTTAAAATAGCGCAAAAATACATAAAATATAGCAAGAGATCTTAACATTAAAAAATATATTTACAATATGTAATTTTCTTTCTATTTTCATAACCTAAAACGAAAATGTAATAAATATCTTACCATTACACTCCAAGAAATGTATATATGTTTGTAACTTACTGCCTATACATATGTCTGTCATTGTTTATTGTAAACATAAGATTTAACTATCTTATATGTTTGGAGAAAACTTACGTAGACCCTTGCCTGCTGTTCAATCCAATTCAGTTGATTGATTATATTATTGTTTAAACAACAACTAATTCTAATAAATAGTTATGGACAAATAACAAATTAGGACAATATGATGGAAAACGTTTAGAAAAATGACACTTTACAGATCATTGTCACCAGAACTATTTTCACCGCTACTGTCACTAATTGAGTTAGTAAAATCGAATGTGTTGCTTTTAAGAAACATGTCGATAAAATGATTAAGTTCTTCATCATAACCGATCACAGTATCCACTGGTCCTTCATCCCCCGAGTTTTTGTTTTTATTAAGTAGGGTTAAGCTTTGGTGTGGGGAATGATCTCTGTTGCTTTCGGTGTTTCTGTCCAAAGAATCCAACTGCAATGTGTTTCTCTTCGTGCTCGAATTGTCCATACTGTAAATCAATTGATGGAGTTTAGCAAGCCCTTTGACATTAGCCACCCTTAGATGATTACCCGTCTCCGAAATATTCATTTTAGAAGAGGGTATCTTACTTCCAAGACACGTATTTGTTGTTTCTCTATTGTTTCCTGAATATCCTTCTGAATTAGGACTTGGTTTAAAATTTATAATTTCTGTACTGGTCAAATCATCTAATTCTTTTGAAGCGTCTGGGTTACAAGCTAAAGACTGATATTCAAACAAAGATTTTTCAGAAATATCGTTTTGTTTCGAAATCATAGTACACTTTCTTGGGTTATTGGCCAGTGTTCTGTTTCTTTTCTCTTTTGAAGTCGCTGTAAAATTTGTTCCAATTGGTACTTCTTGGACAGAATGCTTTTCGGCCGATTCTAAGCTCATAGATCGTGTCTGCCACATAATGGAGGATGTATGGTGGCTAGCTGCTTGGTCATTGTGCATTTTCTGAACAATTCGCATATTTATATCCGATTCTGGTACTCTAACTTTGGCATTGTAAGCACGTATTCTGACATATGTCTCTAGTTGACTGATCCTTTTCTTAGCCTGTTTAAGTGCTAAATCTTTGGTCAACAAATTCTGTTCCAATATTCGACACTGAAAGTAAAATGGCGGAGTTATTATTATTCATAGTTTACTACATTCCTGTAATGTTAGATAAGAATCCATCTAGTAACCTAAAAGATATTGCCGCTAAAACTACCGGAAGCCTGCCATTTGAGAAAACAAACGATTCTAAGCCCATAGATCGTTTCTGCAACATAATCGAGTAGGTATGGTGGCTAGCTGCTCGGTCATTGTGCATTTTCTGAACAATTCGCATATTTATATCAGATTCTGTCTGGTACTCTAACTTTGACATTGTAAGCAAGTATTCCGATATATGTCTCTAGTTGACTGATCCTTTTCTTAGCCTGTTTAAGTGCTAAATCTTTGGTCAACAAATTCTGTTCCAATGTTCGACACTGTAATGTTAGATAAAAATCCATTGAGAATCTAAATTTGACACTTCAAGGAAGGGTTGATGAAAACTTCCGCGCTGGTTTATCCTATCCATGTTTGCAATGAGACGTCTTAAACATATGAACGTCAAAAGTTCTCAAATTACAGAATATTTTGAAAAATATAAACTATTAAATGAATTTCAATTCTGGTTTTGGAAAAAAAAATCTTTTATGTGCCACAGCCTTATTGGGAATTACTGATAACGGGCGAGCAGTAACCAACATGCTTAATGTGTCACAGCCTGTAATCGTTGGGGTAATCGTCGATGGGCGCGTGTAATGTTCTCAGATGAGTCCAGATTTACTCTGGATTGGCGTGTTCGCATTTGGCGGATATGTAAATAAGCGCCATGTGCCGTCATGCTAACGTTAATGTCAGACATCATGACAAAATCAGGCGTAGGTCGTTATGGTGTGGGGAGGAATCACAATGACTGACAGAACGGACTTGCATATTTTTCAAGGAAGGGTCACTGGTGTGTACTACCATGGCCACATCCTGGCACCGATAGTTCCTCATTCTACAGGTCGACGTTTCATCTTTCAAGATGATAATGCCCGTGCCCACCGCTTGTGTCGTGAATGACTACCTCCAGCGTCCATATGCCTTGGCCAGCCATGAGTCCTGACCTTTCCCCGATAGAGCATGTATGGGACATGTCGGTAGACGTGTTCGTCAACGTCAACGTCAACCGACAACACTGCAAGAATTGGCCGTGGCACTGCAAGATGAGGATTGGTGGAGCAATTACTCATTATTTAGACAAAATTCAAAAACGTCCATTTTCACTTTTGACAGTGTATCTCTTTTCGAGTAAAATGGGGCCGTCAGATAAGGCAGCCTTCGGGTGCGCTTGTATGGTCACGACTATACGGCAGAGTATAATTCACTACATCCGAACGGAAGCTAGTTCGATCATAGTCGTCAAAATGGTCGCCGTTCTCTTAATGAATTGCTACAAAACCTTTTACTTAACGAAAACGCAATTTTTCTTAATGAAAGCTTTGGATATGACCACATCATTCCTTGGAGAAAAATTCCCGGAACGTTTGCCAAAAGTTTCTCACCCTGCTGAAAAGGCTGTACTAGAAGTAGAATATATGATAACGACGATTTCAAGAAATCTACTGACAGTTGAGTTAGTGACCGAGTTATCTCCAGACAATAAAATAAACAAATCAACTGTATATCCAGAGTTTAATTACAGTTACATAATTTATATTTACAATGTATATCAAACTGATGTATTTAATGAACAAAATCGTTTGTTTGTGTTACTGTTTTTCCAAATAAAATTCACAAATGGATGAAATATTTTTACTATAATACTGTCACTTTCACAATTTCAGTCTGACATCAGCCTTGGTGGATTTAATCCTTGGTCGAATTGATTGACAAAACATGATTATCCACTCTATATAATATGGAAACTACTTAAATATGTTATGTGAATTTAAATAAGTCTCAGGTTCTGGGGCAACATTGGTAGTATACGTTCTATCTTCATATAACAATTTCATAACAACATATGTTTTGTCGCGGGACGCCATTTTAAATCTGACTTGACCAGCCTCAACCGACCTCGAAAGGTGGGTTAATCATGGTCGCGACTATAGTCTAACCATTTCAAGTTCGGGTGCGCATGGTCGAGACCTAGTTGAACTATGGTTAAACATCTGGACGAGCCGAAGGCGGCCTAAGCCGCTCATATGAACTGTTTATGTTCATGTGTAGGCAATTGGCCTATTATTAACATACACTGGTTACTTCTAATAAAAACATCAGTGCATTTCCCCAGTTTATATATTGTTTCTAAATATCCCCTACTTATTTTTTGAAGAGTACTACTCAATATCTGAGGCCATATGTACTTGTGATCCTAGCTATTTCTTCCACTAGTAGGCAGGGTAAGTAACCTGGATGAATTTAAATAAAAAATACATTCGTGGATCCCCAATACCCCCACACCAATTAATAAATACGTCAACATAAACAGAAATGCCCGATTGCAGAGAACGTTTCTAATTTATCAAATAATCAAAATAAAATTTTAGAGGCATGGCCGAGGTTTCTCTACAAACCTATCAAAAATTTCAACATTTTCAATTACCAAGTGTATTGTTTTGTTAACCTATCAAAAATTTCAACATTTTTAATTACCAAGTGTATTGTTTTCCTAGCACAAGAATGGAACACTGTTAATAGAATGTGCCAAAGAACAGCATGCTACCATGCTATTAAAATCATCGTCTTTGGCATATCGTGTAGAGGAGTAATTCGCTGCCGGGACCTTGAAGGCAGGAGTGAGGATGAAATGGTGGAATCAGTGTTCGCTAAAGAGATACAGTACTTATATACATTCCCAATTTTGATCGTCGCGAAATTCCGAAGACTCTCAAGGCCAGTAGCAGTTATAATTGCATGAGACGACATCGTACCTAGATGGTATTTTTAACAGTTTTCATTGCATGAGACCACATCGTACCTCGGTATTTTTAACAGTTTTCATTGCATGAGAGTACATTATACCTCGGTGACCTCTTTAACTATATTGATGGTCTTTTTAACAGAGGGAGAGAGAGAGATGGGGTTTAATGTCCACTCAACAGGTCATTTCGGGACTAACGTATGGTTTAATTTCATTTCAATAGTTCGCTTGCGCGTAGAGGTCTTTAGCAGTGGGAGGACCCGGAGAAAACTCACGAGGTTCAACAGGCGACCCTACTCTTTGTCACGTACACCGGGGAATCGAAGCCACGCCAGTTGACTCAATGACAAACTTTATGATACAGCGCGCACACGCTAACCATTCAGCCATCCACCCACTCCTAATCTTGATGGCTCTTTAACAGGTAAAATTCACGAGGTTCGACAGGCGGCCCTACTCTTTGTCAAGTACAACCGAGGAATCGAAGCCACGCCAGTTGACTCAATGGCAGACTTTATGACGACCGAGAATATGTGAAACCATTGAAGGATGTCTAACCGTATCCGCACAGCTTGAAGCTTGTGACATTGCCAGCATGCCAGACCCTGTCAAAAGCTTTACTTATGTCACAGAACACTGCTCTCGTGTAGAATCCCTGGTCAGTGGCTTGACAAAAGAACTGTGGGATATCGACAAGTTTGTAAACACTAGAATCCCCATGCAAAAAGCCGTTCTGGACGTTAGTTAGAACAGAATTCTCCCTTAGGAAGTTGAAGATATTTTTATCAATGCATTTTTCGAATATTTTAACTAAGATAAGGGCCTGTAATTCCCGCAGTCAGATGGGCCACCTTTTGTTTTATTATTGGTAAATTTCCAGATACTTGGTACTGTTTTCGATAAGAGGGAATGGTTAAATAATTTACATTAGAGGTTCAGAATTAGTTTTATTAGTTTTTCGCTATCGGGTCCATTGGTTTTAGGGGAATCAATAGTAGTAATGGTATCTTCAACTTACTTCTGGCTGAGGGTAATGTTAGTTAGAGAGTTGGGTATTATTTCTTGTGCAGGAATTTGTGCATTGTCGTTTTCTATGTTAAATTGGCTTATAAAGAAGGTAGTTACATTTGTCAGATGGTGTGTGATATGTAGTGTTGTTTACTGATAGAGGGGGTAGTTCATTGCTAGTGCCAGCACGGTTCTTTTTCATAAATAGTTGACAGCCCCCCCCCCCACCACACAGTTTTTAATTCCAAAGATATTGCAATTATTGATTTTGTTGTCGATTTTGTCAAAATATTCCTTTTTGAAATTTCTGATTAGGTTTATATATTCGTTTCTAATAGTTCTAAATTTATGCCAATCTGATTCTAAAATTCTTTTAACTGGCTTCTTAGCTATTTCATTTTTCTTTCTACTCAACTTTCGAATCGCATTATTCATCCATGGTTGGTATTTGTGTCTGATAATTACTGATTTTATTAGGAATGTGTTTTTTTCGCTGGCCTTGTCAGCTCACTTGTGAAGTTAACACAAGGTTCTGATAAGCTATAGAAGGTTGAGGAAATTATATTTAATACACTATTTAATTCCGATATGAGTTCAATGTATGTAGTCTTGGGTTCTAAACCTTGGGCAATATGCATGTAAACTACGCTTAATCGTCCAGTTAAACTATTTGTATCGTTTATGCGGGCGTTTATAGATCTACGGTTAAATAAGACATGTTTATTAGTGGAATTTAAAATGGACAACCCGTTTTTGAAAACATGAATGATTTTGGTTTGGGAATTTCGTAGAAGTTTGACGTTAGCGCGGATGTCGTCAACGTCTGCCTCATTAACCCACCGAATAAGGATGAGAAAACGCCACCTAGATTTAATAAACTACGCTTTTTGCGATCAGAGCCTATAGATTTTTTTTATTTCTTTAAACATTTACGTGAAACAAGAGAAATTAAATCAGTATTATGCCAAATGTAATTGCGTAAGGTGGTTAGATAATTGGTTATATCCCAGGGGTCTGTTTCACGAAATTTTAACTAAGATAAAATCCAAATTTTAGAAATTTGATTGGATAATATTAGACTGATTGTAGAGCTTAGCCAATCAAAATTGAAGTATCTACTAAAATTTGGATTTTATCTTTAGTTAAAATTTCGTGA